CGGGCCTCTAAAAATCTTTCACGGTGCATGGCACACAGTGGCTATTCCTCATGCTGAAGAGAACAGAGAGGGCCAAGAGTCCTGCCTGAAGATACACAGCAGGGGAAGGATGGAGCCAGGCTTCTAACTGGCAACCTAAGCACCCGCCCAAGTAAGCCTTCCATGAAGGCAATTTGTGGTATATGATTATTTACAAGGTGAGAAAATATGATGGTGGAGGTACAGTAGGCATCTCCAGATGGGCTCTGACTTTCTGGAAAGTTCACCTACAAAGCCATGGACCCCGGGCCCTCCTAGCAGAGTCTCAAGATTCTACCTTCTTCCTGTATGCTTGTACCTATGTATGTGCAAGAACACATGTGCATGTGGGAGGTACATATGTGCACACATGTTTGCATGCACATGCAGGTGCATGGGCGTGTGCATGTGTGTGCATGCATTTGCATGCATGTGTGAGAATAGCATCCCTCAGCAGCCAACAGCATTCCTGGGGGTGGTGGAGGAGGCACAGGCCCTCCTGGGGCCTTGTCCTGAAAACCCAGAGACGTGGATACGCCTGGGGGAGTTTGTGAGGCAGAGAAAATGAGACAATCATCAGTGCTGCTGCGAACGTTCCAGGCTTTGAAGGGTCAAGAGCATATCCTGCCAACCCTCACAGGATGTGTTCCCGGGATTTGTGAATTTATTTCTGTGAAAGTCATCGCAAAGATAAACACATTTAATCACTCACGGTTGTACATTTAATGAACTGTCAAATTTTGGAAATGATTGCAAATTACATATAAAAGGAGACAATTCAGAAGAAAGAAATCAAGGAGACTGTGATTGAACATTTAAAATGCAGACTGCCTTGGAGAGGCTCGGATGGAAGGTCAGCATGCCTGGGAAGACCTGCCCTGGATGGTGCTGCGACAGGTAAGCCTCACCCTTATGAACACACATGTGCCAGAACTTTCCATGACAACCTCCTGGACACCTAATGCCAGAGACACAGCTCAGAGGCTCACTTGAGAAAGATCTAGCTCCTGATGGCACAACTGGATAGTGGCATAGAAAACCCACCCACAATTACCCTACTGCCCCTCGCTGCCCCTTTCTGTCCCCCCAAGCCCCACCTTTGCCCCCAGGGACTGACGTCTGAGTCTGAGGATAGGCATGGAGAAGTTCAAGTCCGGCATCAGCCATGTCTGTCCTTTCCAGGGGCTTCCAACACATTCTTCTTGAAATCTGAAGCAGGGGCCTTATGACACCAACAAGGTGACCAGGGGACTTGCTTCTGCAGGAACTCAAAGGACATTTTCTTTCCCACACTACTTAGGATACTCGGGGTGGGATCTGCCAGACCAATTGGGACCCACAGATTTTTTCCAAGGCCTTTATGTTGCAGGTGGGTAAACTGAGGCCAGGTTTGGAAAGAGAATCATCAAGGTGGACAGGATTGGAACTTGGGGCTCTGGATTTCTGGTCTACACAAGCATTTCTAGGATCCTGTATGTAAATACTCACCCAAGTGTCCAGTGACTAGTAGAAACCAGCCCCTGAACTGCCCAGCATTGGCCAATTCTTGCAAGTTTGGAGTTTGGGGGCCAATTTAATGCATTGGGTTTTACTTTTGCCAGATACTAAAGAACCTAACACCTAAAGAGTCTACTTGAGAAACGATGTATAAAAAAGAACATTTCTAGGTGGAAGCTGGTGAATGGCTCATGCCTATATTCCTAGCTACTCAGGAGGCTAAGATATGAGGATCAAGGTTCAAAGCCAGCCCAGGCAGGAAAGTCTGAGAGATTCTTATTTCCAATTAACCAGCAAAAAAGCTAGAAGTAGAGGTGTGGCTCAAGTGGTAGAGTGCCAGCCTTGAGCAACCCCACTTCCCCCAAACCAAAAAAACCTCAGAGGCAGCACTGAGGCCCTAAGTGCAAGCCCCAGGACTGGCACAACATAAATTAAACAAAATAACATTTCTAAAAGCCTCAGAATGTTGAGACAGATGCTTGCCTGCTTGACAGGAGGCTTGAGCTCAACATCAGCTCTGCAACCAGGATTCTTCCTCTGTTTCCCACCATTGTACAAGGCACTCCTTACAAGTTCCTTTGAATGGGCAAATCTAGAGCCTTCTGGCCTAGCTGTTTTTGGTCTTTGCCATCCTAGAGTCAGGGCTGGCCTTCCCCCTCTGCCCTCTCCTTCCTGCTCTTGTCCTTGATGAGCCTTTGCCTTCCACATTTCCTGACAGGCTCCAACTGTCAGTCTTGTTTTACTTTCATCACAAACTAGCTAAAAGAATTTTTTTTTTTTTAGTTACTGGGTTTGAATTCAGGATCAGATGCTTGCTAGGGAAGGTGTTCTACTACTTGAGACATGTCCCCAGCCCTTTACTTTTGTTATTTTTTACGTAAGTCTTACACTCTTGCCTGGAAGGCCTCTGACTGAGATCCTTCTACTGAGATCCTCTGCTGGTGAGATCTTACTCTTATCTAGCTGGGATTACCGGTCTAAGCGACTGCTCCCAGACTTGTTCAAGGAATTTTATTGCCATTTGCCCAAGCCCGTATTTTGTAGGTGGAAACACTTCAGCCAGAGAATGGTGAGATTTCATCAAGGTTAGGGAAGGCTGATTTCTCTGCAATAGATGGATCAGACTCTGCTCAGGACTCAACTCCTTGGGTTCCTAACATTTTGGGGGCTAGGGCAGTACAATTTTTTTCCCTCCTATTTCATCTAGATTTGTGTTTTCAGATTGTGGAGTATCACAGGTTGATTTTTTTAAACATCTTTCTGGCCTGTGCTAATCTTCCGTTTTCTAGAAAAGTATGGTCTATGGCTTGCTCAGCCCCTTCCTCAAATAGAAAATAGTATGGGTTACATTTTCTTTTATTGTGATTTGAGATACACTAGTAAGATTTAATAACACTGTTTTATTTTTCCTTGTCTTTATTTTATGGTAACCTTCTATTTATAGTAAGTAATGTGGTCCTGGTTTCCCATTTATGGTAATGATATAACATATCTTTTTAAAAGCGAGCTCCTTTAAGTAAAAGAAAACCTAAACTAAGAGCTGATTTAAAGAAAGCTATTAAGTGGATATGGGGCACTGGGGACAGGGTTAGGCCATACTGATGGAGGTCTTGAACTCTGCCTTGAAGCTGATTAGCAACTCAGCTGGAGCCTGAGATGTCCAGAGGCCTGAGCTGGACAGGGGCCTATGTTGGACAGCTGCCTGTCTTCCCTTCTCTGCTTCTGTGCTTTCTTCTTCAAAGGCACAGCTCCTCCCTCTCCTCCCTCCTAAGATGCCCTCACCCTCACTTGAGGCTTTCTGTCTTTTATAATTTATGTGGTATAGAAGGCTGAGCTCCAAGGATGGTGGTTCAAAACCAGCCCGGGCAGACAAGACACATTCACAAGACACTTACCCACAATACACCAGCAAAAAAAAAAAAAAAGCTGGAAGGTGTGGCTGAAGGGCACAACTCCAGCCTTGAGGGGGAAAAAAAGCCAAGCCAAATGAGAGTCTGAGGTCCTGAGTTCAAGCTCTAGCACGGGTGCGTGCACGCACGCACGCACACACACACACACACACACGCAGAGTTTGCCTGGCATCTCAGGTCCAAGAAATGCTCACAGCCAATCTTTTCCAAAAGCATCCATGAGCGCAGGGCTCTTGGGGTTGCTCGGGATATTCTCCCCTTCACCCTACTTTGGTAACTGTAGGAACTGCCCTTGCCCACGTTTTTACAAAAATTGCACAATTAGAAACTTTCCCCCCAAGGGAAGAAGTGAAGAAGTGGGTGCCCAGGGGTTTCCAGCCATAGTCCTGTCCACCTACTCAGTGCCTGAAAAGTATCTGAAAAGACTAACCCCCCCCCCCAAATTCTTAGAAGGGATCACCATGTTCTGGAAGGCTCCTCAACACTCTTGTCTAGTGATCTGACTCAGGGAAACAGGAATCGCTCCACCTCCTATCCATCGCTTACTCCTTAGTGAGAACCAGCTGACCACTCTTCTGGCAGAGAGTGTTGTGTGAAGGTCCAGTGGCCCACAGGGACCCTTCAGAGTGGAGGCCTCAGAGCTGGGACTCAACCCCCCCCCCCCCAAAAAAAAAGTGTTGCCTAAGATGAGCCCAAGCTGAACCCTGTAATCTGGGTGCGGTTCCTAGGTGAGAGCAATGGCTCAGACCCCACTAGCTCTGAGTTCCTTCTGGAGGGGAAGAGAGCCGAGGGAGTGGGTGTGGCTGTGGCAGTAATATGAAGAGATCCCCCCCCCCCCCGTGTCCTGAGGTTCCCACACTGGTCTCCCCCTCCCCTCCCAAACCCGGGCTGTCTCCTTCCTGCTTGGGACCAGGATCTTCCCAGCTGGATCCCCAGTAGAGGGGACAGTCTGAGCTCTCAGTAGGTTCTTCTCCACCCCGGGCGGGGAGGGGCGCAGGAGAGGTCTCGACGGACAACCCCGTTCCCGCCCTGCAGGTGGGCTGGGGGAGGAACATCGAACAAGACCCCTGAAATCCACACCCGGCCCGGGTCTCGCTGGCCACTGGCTCCCCCTCCCTTCCCACGGATCTACTGAATTCCCACGAAGCGGCCCAGAGCGCGGGGAGGAACCCCGAACGAGGCCTGGGGAGGACCGCAGCTGGAACCCCGAGAGGCCGGTAGGGACCCCGAGCAGGGACCCCGGCCGCGGTGGCAGGGGGAGGCCCGGGCCGCCCGCCGTGGAGGCGCGCCTAGCCGGCGTCCGCCAAGGCCGAGGCGCGGCGGCGGCGGGAGGCCGAGGGGCGGAGGCTCGGGGCGGAGGGAGCGGGGAGGGCGGGACGGGGGGCGGCGGGGAGGTGGGGCCGGCGGCGACGGGCGGGCGGGCAGGCGGCAAGCGAGCGGCTGCAGCTGCTGCCGGCGTCTCGGGGGCTCCAGGCTGCGGGCGGACGCCGCGCCGAGCGATCCACCGCCGCGCCGCGCGAGGCCGCCGGAGCCCCGGCCTCGGCCCCGAGCGAGCAAGCGAGCGGAACGCCGCGCGTCCCCGGACCCCACCGCCGTCGGGAGGACGCTCGCCCCGGCAAGTTGCAGGCGCGTTGCGCCCGGAGAAAGTTTCCCCTGCGGCCGCCCGCGGAGTTGGCGCGGGCTCCGCCGCCGCCGCCGGAAGGTAGGGCTCGCCCCGCGCGCCCCGCGCGCCCCGCGCGCCCCGCGCCCGGCGGGGAGACCCGCGTTCGCACGTGAGGAGGCGGGCGGGATGGGGTCCCGGGCCCGGCACGTCGAGGCTCCAAGTTCTGCTCAAACTAGCACGGGGAAGGCGAGGCAGGGACGAGGCGGGGGACCCGGAGGGGGCCGCGCTCGCCCCGTCCTCGCCGCGCGCGCCCAGGGCGCCGAGCTGCGGGCTTCGCCCAGCACAGGTGCAGCCCCTCGGGCTCCCAGCGACCGCGGTGGGGTACCGGTGTGTGTGTGTGTGGTTTCAAGGATCGGGGTTCGGGCCAGGACTGTGCCCAGAGGGGAGGGGTGCACCCCACGACACCCTGGGAGAGGACAGCAGGGACCCCTACACCCGGGCTCGGGCGGGGAGGCTCGATCGCCGGCGCCCGGCAGGGGCGCTGAGTCGTGCCGCCGCCTTTCAGGGTCCCCAGTGGCAGGGCGGGGCGGGCGCTCACCGCTTTCCCCCAGCGCCCGGGTGAGCGGACCGGAGAAGCGGGGCCTCGGTGGGGTGCTGGGAGGCTGCGGAGCTCGGCCCGGCGCGATCTAGGGGGTGTGGTGGAGTCGGTGCCGAGGGTGCTGGGCTCGGTCCTGCCGCCAGGAGGCGCCCAGCCACGGTCCGCTCGCTGGCTCTTTCCACACAACCACCCCCAAATTGTGATCCACAAACCACAGTCCCTCCCCAAGGCATTGGGGACCCCTCCTCCGCCCCCCCCCCACAATCTCTTTCAGCAGACTGGGAAGGGGGCTGGAGTGTGAGGCCGGGTGTCTCAGTTACTACTGGAGGGAACTGCCTTCATGAGATTATTTTTCTTGGGGGGCTGTCAGGGTGTGTGTGTAGGTCCCTGATGTCCTATCACAGGTGGTGGGGCGCACCTCTTCCCTCTGGGCACAGCCCTGGTGCTTGAAACCACACCTCCCACCCTACCAACTCTGCCTCCCCCCCACCCCCCCTGCACCCCATGAAAGAGGAGAACAAGACAAAAGAAAACTTATATGAATGGAGACGGTTGGTTAGTACCTTCACTTTGGGGGGGGTGCTTCCTGGAAGTTGATGAAACCCTTTGGTAAAAGTGGTACCTTTGTTACTGGACCCTGGCCAGATGTGGGGAGGAGGGCGGTGTCTGTGGACAATGAGTGTATCCACTCTTGTCCATCCTCTCTCTGGGTACATGTAAACTGGAGGGCACAAGGTGGGGTATTGGGGACCCTTACCAAGACCCCCAAACCTGGGTCTTGTGGAGCTGTGGCTTGGGGAGTGACATGCTGCTTGTCATCTTGGTCAGGAGTTTTTAATATTGTAGGGACCCATGGGAAATGACTCCATCTTTCTCTCTAATTCTTGCCTACCAAACCCCAAGAGAGTACAAGTGAGCAGATCCCAGTTCCTGCAGCCATGGCTTAGAAGTTTCCATGCAGGCTCTGCTGGCAGCTGTGCTCTTGGGACAGCCACCACCCATCCTCAGAGTCCTGGCAAAGGTGATGAAGATGAGTTGAGACAAATGGGATCTTGCATTCCATGCATGGTCAAATTTTTTTTTCCAGTCATGGGGCTTGAACTCAGGGCCTAGGCACTGTCCCTGAACTCTTCTGCTCAACGCTAGCACTCTACCATTTTGAGCCACAGCTCCACTTCTGTTTTTATTTTTTTGGTGGTTAATTGGAGATAAGTCTCACAGACTTTCCTGCCTGGGCTGACCAACGGTAACCCTCAAATCTTGGCCTCCTGAGTAGATAGGATTACAGGTGTGAGCTCCCAGCTCCCAGGAGGTCAGATGTATTTGCTGGGTGTAATGAGCCAACATGCTCAGGACCAACACTTGCTCCCAGAAAGATCAGGGTGATCTCTAGTTTGAATAGGAGAAGGGGGAACAGAGAGCCGGAGAGAAAAGGGTGGAGAAGCCCCACTGTCTGGATTTGTCTTTAAGATGGCCCAGAAGACCAGAGACTAAAAAAGGAGTATTTTGTTTTTGTTTTGCATCTAGTGACTAAAGAGAAGCCTGAGATGGGGTGAGGTGGGCGGGTGGCCCTTCCTTGGAGCCTGGGTGTGGTCTGGGATCCCTAGAAGACCACAGTTTCTGTGACTTAGCCCTTCTCTTTACTCCCCACTCACACCCACCTGTGCCCACCTGAGGGCATTGAGGCTCCCCCTCCCCCAGGGTTGCCAATGTCTGTGTCCTTGTCGCCTCTGCTCCTGCCTCTAAAATGGCAGCAGGGATATGGCAGTTCCAGCCCATTCTCTAGAAGCAAAAATTAGTCTGGACTTGAGTATACTAGACTCGTGGCTAGACTCCAAGAAGAACCAACCCTAATCAGCCTTATCAGCCTGGAAATAGCTCCCAAGTTACTTAATAGTTTTAATGTTCTGGCAGGGGTGGGCTGGAGGTCTGCACTCCAGGCCGGTGCAGGTTTGGAGGTTCATGGAGGAAAGAGATTGTGGGGCCTTCTGCGAGGAGGCCAGGTAGGGGAGCAACAACAGCTCACCCCTTCCTCTGGCCTTTCCAGCCCACTTCGTTCGTGGGAAGAGCCGATGTCTGTGTCTGGACTGCACATATTTTTGGGACCCCCACCTCCCTTTCCAAATGGCTGCTCTTCTGGTTTATTTTATGAGCTATTGAGTAGGGAAATCAGGAACATTTGTTCCTGCTCAGCTCGTCCGAAGCAGCACAGGGAGGGTGCTTGGAAACCAGCTCTGTGGTCCCACGGAGCAGATGATGCCAGCTCACCAGGCATGTCTGCAACCGGGTGCCATTGAATTACATGCCAGCCTGCCTCCTGCAGGGTGCCTCCTGCCACCCGGGCTGGCACCTTGGACCTACGTGGGTGCTCTCTCTGAGGGAGTGGGACAGATAACAAAAACCTGTTTGAAAAAAGAGACGAGGCCCTGTGTTTGTGGGTGGCAAAGCAGAGCTTTAATTCGGGCACTTGTTGTCTGATCATCCAGCTCTTTCTCCTCGTTGGTATCTGAGACGGCTGGGTTAATTAGTAAATGGAACAACGTGGATATGAGCAGGAGCCTGTTCCCAAGTCATTGAATGTGTATGTATGTGTGGACAGGCAACAGCATGGAGTCAAGGAGCTTGTCATCTAGCCGTTAATTGTTACAGATGTAGCTGTGTGACCTCCACCTCTGAGCCTCAGTTTCTTAGTATGTAGAATGGGACTCTCATCAGCTGCTGTGAGCTGTCAGTGAAATGACCCTTGTGAAACACAGCACGGAACCCAGCACATAGGAAGTGCTTAGTAAATGTTCACTGTTATTTGTCACTGCCATTATTACCCTTGCTAGTGCTATTGTAAAAGAATGCAGTCATGTTGGAGGAGTCAACTTTGATTCTTTCCAGTGTTCTGGGCCATGGTAGTGTGTGTGTGTGTGTGTGTGTGTGTGTGTGTGTGTGTGTGTATGTGTGTTTGTGTGTGTGGGGAAACAGAGGGAGGGAGGGAGAGGGAGGGAGAACAAGCATCTTCCTTTTTAGGGGTAAATGGCAAAGGTGAATATGTTGCCCTTGAGGGTCTTTTCTTCCTTGCCCTGCCTCCTAGCAGCCCCATTCCTGTGGCAGGAAGCCCAGTTTGATATCACCAAGAACATCCTGGTCCCTGGCAAGCAGGATGGTATCCCATCAGCCAAGTCTCTGCCCATCCCTTCTTCTCTGCCCTTTGTCTTCCAAACTGCAGTATCAAGACCACACATCAGAATAATAAGTTTCAGCAGATAAACAGCTCCCAATTCACCCAAGTCAGGGGCCATCTTCCTGGAAGATACTTTCCGATAAATACATGGTACTCTGTTGTGTTGCGTTTTAGTTGGCTGGCCCTGCGTCCGTCTCTGGGTTCAGCCCTCGGACATGGCCTGGGCCAGGTCTGCAGTCTAAGGCTGACTTCCCTGATAGCTGCCTGGGGGGGAGGGGGAATGCCAGGCTGAGCCCTTGCCTCCTCTCCCTCTAGAAGGCTGTGGCTCTGAGCCATCACAGTGATGATGCTTCTGAGACTCATTTTGGAACAGCTGCACCTGCCCGGGAGGTTCAGATAATGCCTCCGCTTTATGGATCAGAGAGTAGGCTCAGAAAACCAGAGCGTTAGGTGTGGGACTGAAGTTTGATCTAGAATTGACCTGGTTCTCCATCCTGCCCTGTTTCCTCTTCTGTCAAAGTTTTACAAAGCCCCCAAATCTCAGGAAAGCGCCCAGAGACTTGGTTAGGCCCCTTCTCCCTACTTCTGGTCTTCTGCCAGCATCATTAAGTACCTTCAGCCATTCCCTCTTCTCTGGCATAGATCATTCAGCCTTCCTGGGGACAGGGAAGGACGAGAGATTTGGGAACATGGCTGTGTACAGGAGGAGAGCCATCCTGTGTTCCTACCAAGCTACAAGAGGTGGTTGTGGCAGGGGCAGGCTTGTGGTTCCAGATCTGGATTTGTTCCTGCCATTCACTGCTGTGTGGTCTGAGACTGCTTGTCTTTGAACATGAGAATCTTTCCATCAGTGATACAGGAAGCCGAGTAGCACCTAGCTGCCATAGCACATGACCCCTTAGTGATGTAACAAGCAGGTTCCGTTCTCACATTCACGTTTCTGTCCTCCGCCCTGGTGCGCAGGGACTCAGACTGCTGGCACCTCTGCCATCTTTGTGGCGTAGATGTTACTGCAGGAGGGAAACAGGATGCTGGCAGAGCCATAGCCTCTACCTGGAGGTGGCACACATCGTGTGTCAACTCTAGGATATAGAGTTGACATAGGGTCAACTCTACCTTATGTTTACCTAGTTGAGTGCTTTGAGGACATTGAAATGCAGTCACGGCTTCTGAGAGAATCTGGTTGTGTCACCAGCTCCCAAGACACTTTGGCCTCTTTCCCTAGGGGATGTTGTTCTTTGTAGATTACAGACAGTGGGTGTGTGAAGATTACTTCCTGGCAGATGGAGGCATGTGTGAGTGGAGGCTGGGTCTAAGGGGCTGGACAGG